ATTTCATCAAGGGACTGTCTTGTCTTCATGGTTATGAATAGCTGGAGTTTAGCCATTAAGAGATTTCCCTTTCAACGCTTTATGTTGTTTGTGCTCAAAGTGGTGTCATCACTTCAGTATTTAAAAAGTGAAACATAACACCAAGTTCACATATAGATGTGTATGACCGACCGTGTGCGTGCGTTTCCGTTTTAAGTTACACGACCTCAGGTTTATCTCGTGACCTCCCGAACGGTGTTGAGCATATGTTATAAAGCTGTGAGTCAATGTACAAAAATGCATGTAATGTGTTTAATTATAGTCACGTCCATCAACAGTAAGATGACACATGTACATCGATGCATCATTCTAATAATGTCTACTCTAGTATAAGGACTGACTTTCCGCAAAAAGACTATGTCTACTTCTGATTTGTTACTTATCTATATTTTAATGAACGTAGTTGCTATAAATCGGAAATAAATAATTGAAATTGCCATTTCAATTGCTTTTTTCTAACTGTGTGTGTGCGAGTGTTGCGGCATTTGTCTTCTTTTCTGTATAAAAACCGTCTCAGTATTTCCTCTGCCGCTGTCCAAGGTTCTGAGCCTTGTCGTTTGTATTCGGTAGCTATAATTGCTTTTTCATTATAATATACCGAGAACATAATTCGCTATTCCAATTTAGTGTATTGACGGGAGTAAACACTACCTTCATGTGATTTCTTTCTTTCTTTCTTTTTTGACTTGAAGAAGTTTTATTCAAACGCGGATGTGAAGTTAAAAAGACACATGGTGTCACTGTTGGCTGGAAGAAAAAGAACATGCAGCACTCCACCCATCATGAATTCAGTTTTTTTTTTCCATTTATCAGAAACGCTAAATCCTGGGACATAGTTCTGTATAAACTGGTGTGGACTATTGGATTTCTGACTGATTTGGGATACATATGTTGTTTCGCTCTGAATAGCCAGATTAACAAGCGGAAGACGTTGTTTCATTTCAGGATGAGAGACAAAGGATTTTCAGGCCCGATCTATTGCCTTGCTACGTTTATTGTAACGATGCGCCTCGTAAGCGGGGATCTGAGTTATTCTTTTGCCGAAGAGATGAAACGCGACTTCGTTATTGGAAATATAGCTAAGGATCTCGGTATTGACCGTGGAAGTTTTTCTTCACGACAGGCCCGTGTTGATTTTGAAGGATTTCGTAAAATGTATTGCGACATTAACATTAGTACTGGGGATTTTACTACGATGGACAGAATTGACAGAGAGAACCTTTGTGGCAAGAAACCTTCCTGTGTGTTAAAAGCAGATCTAGTTTTGGAAAATCCGTTGGAGCTTCATCGTGTAAGTCTTCATATTCAAGACATAAATGACAACTCTCCACAATTCAAAGATCATTTAATTGAAATGGAAATAAGCGAGTTAGCAGATAGGGGAAGTCGATTTCCAATAGAGCAGGCCCATGACGCAGATATAGGTCAAAATGCTGTGCAAAGGTACATCTTACAAAAGAACAACCATTTCATTTTATCAGTTGACAACAACAACGTCGATCTTGTACTGGAAAATAAACTCGATCGAGAAAAGCAAAAGGAGATTAATTTACTCATCACAGCTTTGGACGGTGGATCTCCTCAGAGATC